CGAGATAATATACTAACCCTTCCTTTATATATATGACATCTTTCAGAAAATTGTATTCTGATTTCTGTTCTTTGAGTAATTAATATCCTAATCCTGTCAATATAAATAAATTTTACTACCAGGAATTTATGTCTACTGTAGTAATACAAAGAGTATATGCATTACTCTCTAGGTTTGCAAAGCTAGTGCCTTTGCGCCTGCTCCTCTTTGATCACATTTTTTTTTAGTGATCAACAGGAGATGAAAATCATTTAAAAATAAGGAAAAACTTTTAAAAATACAATTACATTTCACATTCATAGTGTTCTTTAAACCAAAATCAAGTTTTGCTAAGTACTGCTGGATTATATCTAAAATAAACAATAATTTGATTCCATGTTTCAATTTGTATTCCCAGATGAGCATTTTTTAAATGTGCAATTGGATCCTGCAGTAGGGTATATTTGAAAAGAAAACAGTGGCACTATTTCATAGAGAAAAAGATCTATGTAATGGAAAGACCATAGCTTAGGATATTAAGGTTAGAATACTTACCTGGAAGTAAAATTTACAGTACAGTGGATAATGAGCATAAGATTTTGCTGCTAAAACTTTTTATATCTTAGAGAGGTATCCTTCAAAAATTAGAAACCACTGCTTACAGATATTTAATATGTGTATTTATTTAAAACATGTTATGATGTCCTTTATCATAAATTATATCCTTGGACAGCTTATTTAATAAAAAATAAAGCAAATGGTTAAACATTTAATATTTAAATAAGCAACACTAGAAAGCGTAAAAACAACAGATAACATTTTGAAGTTTAACAATTAATCTTGGAAAATAAAAAGTGTATGTTTGGTGCTGAAAAGTCAGTAGTTTAACTAAAGTAGAGGGCTTCAATCATTCACTGGTCCTACAATCTGCAAGGCCAGAGTCTCCCCTAGTGTCATGGGTAACTCTTTAATACTTGAAGGTTATAAGATTATTTTGCAGGGAGCCCCAGTTGTGAGTAACTTTTATAACAAATAATTTCAGTCATATGTATGAATCCATTCATCTCGGGCCAGAATCCAAAAAAATCATGAAAGTTCTGTGAGTCCAAAGAAACTCTAGTGTTGCCATATTTCCTCTGATATCAATTCTCTATACGACAGCTAAAGGGGCTTGAAAAGCATTTTATGATGTGGCATGGAAATAATTTGTTCAAAACATTACTTTTTTATCCTTTCTTTTTTTAAAAAAAGAGCAACAAATATGGCCTTTGTGGCTTTTTGGTTCCCAGTCTTTACTTGTATGTACTATAATTGTATAGTGTGTGTGTATAAATATACTATATTCATGTATATGTTTCTATGTATTTCAGGTTATTTTCAGTTACATGATTTTTTTCACTAACAAGGAAATGAAAAGGCAGGTCAAAGGGGGTGGCCACATTAGTTTGTTGCAGCAAAGCAACAGTCCTGTGCTTTGCTACTAACCTTAAAGGCTAACATATTTATTTTGGACAGGCTTTCATGGACTATGGTTCATTCATCAGATGCATGGTGTGTTATTGAGAGTTTCATATATATAGTTAATATACATGGTAAGGGTTAAAATATACAGTTGAGGTCAAAGGAAATTAAAAGTACCTGTAGTGACCATCACATTTAACAGTTGCTGATAAGCTTGAATAAAGGATTTAAAAACAAATCCAAACACCAAGCTCTATGTGTTAGGTTAGCTTACCTAAAGTTCTCAGTGGCAACTGTTCTGTAAATGGTCATTGTTAAAAATGTTTGTCAGTATTTTCTACGTTTAATTTCTTCTCTCTTTAACAATTTCTGTACTGTACATACACCTGTAGTTCTTTTTGTATGTGATGAAGTGGACTATAGTCCACGAAACTTATACTATACATCTGTTGGTGTTTAAGGTGCCATAAGTCACTTTGTTGAAATTGTAGTCTGAAATTGTAACTATTCACAACAGTGTTTCAGGACTCTTAGTGAACCAAAGATTTTTTAAAAATACATTTTAAAAAAGGAAGCAGCCAGCAAGACCTATTAACATATCTAAGACAAACAACTGTTAAGAATTACTAGTTGATTCATCAGTTTTTAATCAATCACATTTAAATAATGTATATTACCAAAACTTGATTTTTTAGATGATTAAGTATAAAATAACTTACAACTGAACACACAATTCACTGTTACAAAGATAGGTACTCTTTCTTAATACTATCACTGTACACAAGTACTGAAATTACCTGTGAAAAGAGTTCATACACTCTCTGCCACTTAATCAGCTAACGCATGCAGCATTTCTAATATGCAAAATAGTTTAATTACTTGGAAGAAAAGAGGCTAATAGCTAAAAAAAGGCTGATCTAATAACTAATTCTGAATAATTAGGGACAGATATTGCCAAATTCCTTTCTTTTAAACAGATATCTGGTTTAGCAATAAGGAAAAATCTGATGAACCCTTCAAGAAAGGGTTTGGCCCAATATTGTATGGCATCCTCAGAAAGCTAGTCTGTGAACTGGAGTGGATTATTAGAATATAGATGCAAAGCATTTTTAAATAAGATAATATAAAAATGCAGAGTGTATTAGATATAGGCAGGTACTGTCCTATAACTTCTTAGAATAATTTGACCATGGACTTCGCATTATATTAATCAAAGTATTTGATCTGGAAGATATGAGGTACTCAGAACAAGAAGAAATAATTGGCTATGCCAGCTGAATGGTAAATGAAACTATTATCTTTATTTTCATTCTCCTTGAGGTTTGACAAGAGGATGAATAATATTCTTACTCATATTCTAAATGCAACTAATTGTTAAACAATGTCTTAGGAGAATTTCCATGTGATAGTCCTGGTGGTTACCTTATTTATATGTTATTTAATTGGATATTTTCTTCAGTAGGTCCAGCTGGTTACTACAGAAGTAATTGTGTGTATTATACAGAAGTGTCATGATCTTGCTAAATATGTTGTTGCAATTATCATTACATTTTTAAGGACCATGTAATTTGTTACACTCAGAAACTGACATAACCAAAACCTAATAATGGTACAATCCATATTTACTTCAAAGCCAATGGGAGGATTACCACTGAGTTAAGTGATAAGGTGATTCCCTCTTAATAGCTTGCTTCTGTGCATATTTACTTAAACATTCCACACTGTTCAGTGGGACTCATTCCTACAAGGATGTAGTCTTGTACAACAGAAGCATTAATTATGCTGTTTATGTCCTTATACATACACAGAGGATACTGGCATAAATACATAGAAACAACAAAAATGCCAATTTACACATGTATATCAAAGACTGGTATGTACTATGTAATTTTGAACTGACTTTAAAAACAACTTTTCTAAAAAGGTCATTGCTTGTCCATATTCTTCAGTTTAGGGGCCAAGCCTAAGAATGGTTAGACAGGAAAAAAACTCTTACAACTCTCAGCATTCTCCAGCCAGGGAACTGAAGGGCTTTTTAAATTTTTGCTTTGAACAGACATAGGATTGTGCTGTAATTCAATTATCTGTAATTATTCTGAAGTTGCCAGGAGATTAATCTTATAATAAATGACAAAATTACACATCACTCACAAAAAGCTTATGATTTCTTCCATTACCTTGTATATATTATTAGTAGTAGTACTGGTAGCAGTCCTCTATTCAAGTGGCTCAAGGGAACACTTAAGAAAAACAGAACAAATGAGCTGTCAACCCAACTGAACTTTTTAGAATTATAAGATGAGCTACTTCAAATTAGGTGGCCACATGACTTTAGTCATTATGTGTTGTAAACTGCCCATAGAGCTTTGGCTATTGGGTGATATAAAATAATGATGATGATTATAATTAACTAGGAATTGCTGTTACCTGTGCTTAAACATGACCTATGCTCCAGAATCACCTCTTGAAGTAAATTTTGTATAGGAATAAATGTTCTAGCTGGAACATTTAGATCAAGATGCTATAAGGATATCTAGATTGGCTTTAAGTATATGCTGTGTTAGCCTTAGTGCAAAATGAGATGGCTTGTAATACAGAGGCTACCTCATTAGAAAGGGTTTGTTTATAAGAAAATCAGTTCAGTAAACAAAAGCTCCAAATTCATAACCCCTTGTGGCCCAACTCAAGAATTACTTTGGTTTTTAAGAACCTTCTTTGCAAAAACTAATAAAAATATAAAAACTGATGGCAATACTTCTATGTCTATTAACACGGAAAATTAAACATTTTAATATATGAATAATTTTCAATAAATGCTGTTGCAATTATGAATTCTATCAAAATGACAAAAGAGAAACAACCTAGCTATTTAAAACAAGAACAGATGATTATTTTAAAGCTAGACTGTATGGGAAAATGAGCAAGATTATTTAATAATTTTATCGTAACTGCAATAGCTTTTTTGCAGTTTCTCTGCTGTTGGGGGTGGGGTGAGCTTAATAGTCCCAGTATCTTAAACCATTTGTCTGAAATTTAAGGAAATATACAGAACTTCTAAGTACAGTTATAGCTTATGTGACTCTCCTATGAAGTATAAAGAAGAGGGGGGCATATCAAACGCCCAACAACTCACTGTACGTGTACAGGTAGCTTGTAAACAAATATGAGTAATTTCCCTGGCCATCCCTATGAGATAAACTAAAGATGGTGTTTAGATTCATAAGCAGAAACCCTGCAAAGATTGGATGTATTCACAAAATATAATTGAGGAGGTATGTCCACTCAGAAATAGAGGGAGATAGCGAGAGTTTGCTTTCATGTAAGAAAGAACAAAACCTCCTTAAAATTATGCTACAAATAAAGATTAGTTGGATCACAGGAAAAGCATCGATAACTATGGTAGACAGAGCTCCAAGGAGAGGAGCGGGTTGAAGGAAGGGTGGGGGGAATTGGACGTTGAACTCGTAACTGCAAGAGCAGCTACAACAACGCCTTTCCTCTTGCTTGCTCTAAGCAGAAAGCAGCAGCTCGCCTTGAGTTGCAAGATCAGCTGAGCGCGGCTATCACGTGGGTGGCGTGTCGAAGGTCACAGCGCGGCTCACAATGGAGCTGTCGGAGTCTGTGCAGAGTGGCTTGCAGATCCTGGCTGATCGTGGCTGCTTCTCCCCCAAAGCCTACGCGGCTCTACTGGAGGCTGCCTTCCAGAGTTTGCTGAGCGGCCAGGCCTCCTTAGGTAAGTGTTGGGTCGCTGTTCCTCGAGCAAAAAGCCATAGCCAGCAGGAATTTGAAGCCTGCGGTGCTCCCTTGGGAGCCGGAGAGAAAAAGAGAAAACAACCAAGGCGAAGGAAGGAAGAAAGAGGTGGGGGGCTCCTTTCTTGAGCTTCTCTCCCCCCGCCAGTCCTGACGCATTGTTATGCCTGGCTGTTGTGTCCCTGCACGATCGCTTCCCCTGAAACGCAGGAAGTGTCCCCAGCCCCGAGCAGCGTTAAATGTAACCACCCACAGATTGTCTTCTCTCTTTGTCTGTTTTCTTTTTGTTGTCGTTCCCCTCTCTCTCTCCTCCATTTCCCTGCGGTTGTCATTTCCTTGCAGAAATGTAAATGAGTCTCTCGCTCGGTCGTGGCCTAAAAGCGAGTGTGAAGCCTCTGTCCCGAAAGCCGAGAGCCTGTAGTTGTTGAATGTGGTATCCCCACCCCCAATTTACATTCGTTGTCGGATTATTTCCATCGCTTTTAGTGGGTGGGAGCGGTTGTTGTCTGGCAAGTGATTCTCAGCAATTCTAGGCTCATGAATGCTGTCGATTTTGCAAAGGTCAGGCTTGTAAACGGATTGATTTATTTTGGAAGTACCATGGTACTAGCCTCAAGATCAGGCTTCACAAATGGTGTGTGGTTTTGTGTACATACGTGTATGCAAGGTTGTAAGGAAGAAGTTGTGCTTTTTTTCTGGGCCCGTTCTGTGCTTTATGTTAAATTCTTCACCGGTAATCAGCAGCTGCATGCACCAAAGCGATCTAGTTAGGCCGTCCGCTTCGCGCAGCGAGGAAAGAAGGGGGTTGTTTTCTGCCGTTTGCCTTTCTGCAGCGCTTGCTTTGAAAACGCGCGGCCTCCGGTAGGAACTAGTTTGCACTGCATTTGTTGAATAACAGTTCTATTTACTTAGATGGGATTCAGCAAAATTTTTTTAAAAAGTTAGAATTTTTGTGCCTAGACGAATTTATAGCCAGATCTGAAGTGACACGGTGTTTGGACTTAGAAAAGCGAACTTAATGCCTGTGTTTTCAATGAACCTTCATATGGCACTCAAAATCCTTCACAAAATTATTCTCAACTACTGATGTATTTGCAAATTGGTAGTCCTGGGCGGGGGGGATTTTTCCTTTCCTTCCTGAAATCCCCAAATTAGAGAAAAATATTCCAAAAGCATTTATTTTATTTCTGTAGTTCTGTAGTTTAATTTGTTCCAGAAGTCCGGGCTTGGCAGTAAATTCCAGGAATGGATTGCATATAAAAACAGATAGGAAAGGGAAAACCAAGACATTGTGTTTTAGAAAATGAGATTTTACTTTCCCTTTCTATGCCACATTATGATCTAGTGGGATAAATCCAGATCAGTTGATACTGGAACAACTGAGGTCAGGTACTGACCTTTGTGAAAAGGTATTCATTTATGATGTGAAGGGAATCAGAGTTCCCCAGTATTACTTGTGGCTTTTTTTAATGTACAGAGACTTAAGGAAACAAAATCCTGGATTTGTTTATAATGGTAATTTTAAATCTTGCCAATATGATATACACTGTTTGCCCAGCTGCTATAATTGTACTGTGCTACAGGTACCTGCATGGAGGGAAAGTTTTCCATAACACATATATTTCAAACTTCCCTTTGAAGTATATCATCAACAATTCATTTATTTTTAGATCACCCAGACTTGAAACATATTGATCCAGCAGTATTAAAATATTGCCATGCAGCAGCTGCAACTTGTATAGTGGAAGTTGGAAAGCAAAAAGCTGACAAATCAGCCATAAGGTATTCCCATTTTAAAGCCCTTCAGTTTCTTACCAGTTGCTATAAATCCTATTTTTACTGGCTTTTAAGCTAATACATCTTTTTCTGGTTTTCCTTTTAGCACCTTTCTAGAAGATTGTAAGTTTGACAGAGAAAGAATTGAACAGTTTTGCACTGAATACCAGGTTTTCAAGCCCATTTTTATCATCTTTGACTTATCTTTTCAGATTTTTTTAAGTCTGTAAAAACTGGCAAACTCTTGTTTTTTTTCTTCCCCTTCTTGCTTTTAACAGAAAAATAAAGATACTTTGGAAATCCTATTGGGAAGGTATGTCAAGGGAAATCATTTTAATACTTTAAGGCTGTAATTCTAAAAATATTTACTATGGAGTAAGCCTCTTTGAATAGAAAAATGCTTGCTTCTGAGTAAACAAGTTTAAGATTTTGTTAAGTTTAAACATACCTTTACAGTAATGATATAAAGGACTACTAGAAAAGAAACAGTAAAAAAAATCTGCAGAAGTTACATAGTTGAGGTAACCTGTTCCCTGAGTTCATATTTGATATATACTAATGATGTATGGAACAAGAAGGGGTTTTTCCCACCTAAAAATGTATACAACATGTTGTTGAACATAACATACTCCAACAGATAATCATTGTGTTCTTCAGTATAGGCAGATGTCCACCACACATAACTGATGTTTGTTGGCGTTTGGAGTATCAGATCAAGGTAATTGAAACCATATGGGTATTGATTAATTCTGCTTCCTTTTTACCTGCTAAATTCTTATTCTCCCCCCCTTTCTTATCACTTTAGACCAATCAACTTCATAAAAATTACCACCCTGCCTATCTGATGACCTTAAATGTAGAGGTACTGTACCAATCTTTAGCATCTTGCACCATTAGTATTAAAGATTTCTTTAGGCTTTGCCAACTATTAAACTTCTCATGTTTGGAATTTTTGTTGTTTTTAGAATAGTGACTCAAGATCTCACCCAGATATTAATTTCAGTTGTTCTATGGAGCAGTTACAGGTATTTCTTATCACCTTTGTGTGTGTGCTCTCTTGGGTGTCATTAGAATGACATTTTCTGTCAGGAAACCACCAAAAGTAAACTTTGCAAAAAGTACAGTGTGAAGTGATGGACCATGTCATATAGTTCTTAAAATATACTGCAAAAATACTTGCTTTTGTACTTTCTCAATATGGGATTTAAAAGCTTAATGACATAATATGTAGTGTCTTGTAAGAGTAGCTTTTTGAGGGGCAAAAAGTCTTAACTGGATATCTAAAAGGGAAGGTCACTTTATACTTCTATATATAGTGGAAGCACTGTGGAATTTGGCTTCTTCAAATTATTGAAGAATTGTAAAGTATGTTCTTTAAAGTTTACATAGTTCACAACAAGATAAATATGAACTTAAAATCTAATCCGAGTCTTTAAAAAAATTAAGGCTGCAATCTTATGCACCTGAGAGAAAGTTCCACTTAACACAATGGGACTTGGTTCATAACAGATTACTGTTGTAATGTTACCTGCCCAGTCCTGTAGATGTCTACTTAAAATTAACTTCTATTGTATTCAATAGGATTTGCTTCTAGGTAAATTGTATAAGATTGCAGCCTAAACAAAGCTTGAGTAGCTGTGAAAAGTAATCAACAGATATGAGTTACAACTTGAATTTTGAAACAATTTAAATATTAAGTTTTCCTTGCCACATTTATTTGAAGATTTAAAAATAATATACTGTACCTCTGAGTAAATATATTTTGGACAGCAGCATTAGAAATGTATTGGATCAATTGAATTGTTTATGTTCCATTAAATAGTAAGAAAAATAGCAAACTTTTCAATCTGATACTTAACAACCTCAGTTATTTATACCCTGCTCTATATTTAGTTAGGCATTTTCATTTTAAATGTGTCAATGTTATTAGCACAATATTTGCATAGAGAACATTCATCATATAACATTTACTAAAAGATATAGCAGAGAGATTGTATGTTTCTTTAACATGTTGAACCATAGACATCGTTAATGTGTTAGACACTGAGTTTTACACATGCAAATTTGATATCCTTTGATGACAGACTTTCACAGAACTTTATGCAAGCAACAAGATTATTTAGCAAAAGTATTCTAAACTTCTTACTCTATGTTTTAGGATTTAGTTGGAAAACTAAAAGATGCAGCTAAAAGTCTAGAGAGAACAACACAACTTTAATTGCAATCTGCTGGATCCAAGAAGAAGAAAAATCACTTGTTTCTTCTTTGAATAATAATGATTTTTCCTTATTCTATTTATTTCCCAGAACTTTGATAAATCTTTGGCCATATTGAAATGGAATGTTCTGCTTTCTGGACAGTATTACAAGATTTGTGTGCAGTTCTGACTGTCACATTTGTTAATATCTTGCCTTATAAAAATGTTTATTTCTTAGATTATTAGACAACTGTCTCCTTTCTCCTTCCCCCTTTTAAATATCTGCCCACTGTTCTGTCTTGCACTCTCTTGAAGATTTCTTCATTTCTTCTTTCTCATTTCACCATGTCTAAGCTCTAATAAATACAATGAATTATTTTGTGTGTTGTGTCAGTCTATAATACTGTGTTTTTGTTGAGGAGGGGAGGAAGGTTGGATTCTCATGAGGTCTCCAATATAAGAATCAATGTTCAATGTTTAACCTCCACAGCTAAAATTATTTTAAAGGGCTGGGGAACTCTGAATCTCGGCAAGCTCCATTGTATTGTAATTAAGTAGTCAGCCCCTTGTATCATGACTTCAACAAAATGAGATACAACTTCTTTTTAAAGTGATTCACATGCAAAGGTTCATCTGCTTCAACTCAGATTTACTCTAAAAATATTCAGTAGTTTATGCAGATAGACAATGGCCGGAGTGCCGTTAATTGCACCAGTCCATCCCTTTTCACTTCAATGCAGTTGAATGGCAATAAATGGAATGTGACCAGCGTTGTCTCCACAACTTAAAACAACCCCCCCCCCCATTCCTACCCTCACCACCATCTCACAATGTGGGTAGAAACTGCTTTCCCAGTTAGCAATTACACACCCAGTCTGGGAAAGGAGTAGTGATGCGGTTCTGGTATATTGCGGGGGTAGGGGGAGAAATCAGAGTTCCCATTTCGTTTTCATCCTCTTGAACACACTATGCCATTTTGAAAAGAACAAGAGAAATTGCCTACCTGTGTTGAAGGGTTCTTTGCTAGGAGGGGATGACACCCAGTGTGTCTGGAGAGAGTCCAGCAGCCATAGGAATTTGCTATTTTATTCTGATACTATGAGCCTTAAAAGCATAATGTCCATGCTCTTACATGCATAATACTTTCTCATACGTCTCCATGCATGGCAGAGGAGAGTGAGGGAAACAAATCCACTAGTTTACTCAATATTCCAAGAGGGGCACTTCTGCAGTGCTAAAATCTGAGTAGCTGGTATTGAATTTGCATGTGCAATTTCCATGATGAAATGTTTAAAGAAAAACCTTGAATGATCCATAGTAGCCATTCTAGGCTACTATATTTGTTTCAGTCAAGAAAGGAACAGCAATTGCCATTACAGACTGATGGCATGATGAGGAATGAGAACAAGAGTAACAAAAATATTACCACAGCATTGCTTAGATTCATACAAACAGGAGTCCCTGTTTTTGCTTTAAGTGGTGGGAGCATACAGGAGGAGGTATGTTCTTTTATCTCCCTTTGTTTCGGGGTGATAAAGTGGCTTAAGGATAACAGATTTGGAAAACCAAAAACCATATCTACTTTTGGTTGATGCTACTGTAAGAAAGGAACTTTCTCTGCCTTTGGTTGAGATGGAGTAGTGAGGTGAGGCAAGCCCCATGGTGGTATTTTCATCTAGGATGACAAAGTTAAGCCAAAACTTCCGGCAGATTTTAGAGCCCAAGATATGGCAGTATTTCATTCAATGGCTCTTCCTTGCACCAGTGTTGGCATCCTGTGTGGAGCCATGGATCCCATTTGTAAGCTTTGAACAAAGCATATATGGGTGCAATCGTTCAACCAGTATCTCCCTCAGTGATGGAAGTTGAAAGCTGAAAGCGTTTTCTCTATGAATAGTCTTCCAGGAGTGTTGAATTTCTCCTTCCATTGTAATCATGGCATAGAAAAGAATGCTAAATTCTCTCAGTTTACCAGTTCCGACAGAAACTGGGGCTGGTGACAATGTTGTATCTGTTGTGACACACACTCGGGGATCAGATTGTCAGGTGGAGGTGTAAACTGTGGGTGGGGGGCACTTGTATTGATGGTGGGCTAGGGAGTGGGTGGATAGTATGGTGTTTTCTCTGGTGTTGATAGCAGCCCAAGCTTGCCATTAACACTGAATGTGAGTTTTCTCTCAGACGTCAGTGGGAGGTGGATTGTGCCCCGTGTCTGTCTTCGATACCAGGCTCACTGCTTCGTAAGGGAGTATTTTCTGTGCCAGCCCTTCTTCGATTATATGGCTGGTTGTGCGCTGAGAGCTACCGGCTCACTCTCCGTCCTACAGTAAGTCGTCGTTCCTCTGGAGCGTTGCTGAGAGGGGTCCCTCAGACTGGACCCCCGTTCCTACCGTGCCTTGAAATCGTCAAGCCGAAGTTTTGCCTGAAATGGAGAGTAGGAGTAAACCCAGCTCCCCTCAGGGAAGGAGCTCCAAGCGTGGTGTTTGCTCTCAAGAAATGTTTGACGTCGTTGGTCGTTATAGATGCGTCTTGGCCAGAAGAAGACAAGGGGTGATGTGAGAAAGTGCGAGTGTCCCCTCTTCGAATTCGTTCTTCCAGGCTCCTGAAAATGCTCACCCAGAAGTAGAAAAAAGCCTCCACCCAACCTCCATTACCTGGGTCTGTACCCAAGGCGCGCGCGCCATTTGGAGGGATTCTGCCCATGTGTACTGGAGAAGAAAATTGTGTGACTGAGCGAGCAAACGTTTGACAAAGAAAGTGTACAAGAGTATAAGTCGGTGTGGGGGTGGGGCGAAATGGCGAGAATCTGTGGTAAGGTTGGACTTGTGCCGGCCGCGGTGGCGGCGGGGAGGTCTGGAAGGAATTTGTTACCTAAATGTAGTAACACTCGCTGTGACGAAACATGAGGTGGCGGAGCTCGTGTAGCGAAGTGGATTTTTACGCCGAAAGAAGGCGGGAAGTGAGAAGGCGTGTCTAAAGCCAGGAAGAAACGTACCAAGCCGGTCAAAATGGGTGGCAGGCTAGCTTTGAGGAGCAGGGGGCGGGGGGCGTTTGAACACATTGAACAAATTAAAATATAAAGGAAACAAAGGAAAACAAAGACCTCAGGCTTCTTTGGGGTTGTGAAATAAAGTGTAGGACCAGCCTATTGTGGGGGTGGAAAGTCTAGGTTGGTCATCGAAGGCATTTAGGGCAGGAGAAAAAACGGAGAGGGGGGCTGAGATCAAAGCACAGGCAATGTGTGTGAGGAAGAGGGTGGGTATGTGGGGAGAATTTACCTGAAGGGAAATGGGATCGGGAACCTTTGGATATCGCTGAGAGAAAGAAAGGAAGGAGAGAAAGGTGGGGAAAAGAAGGAGGATAGTTTTGAAGGATTCGCTCATGAACTCTCCGCACGTGAGACTACTGTGGTCAATGGAAGGAGAAATGAGTCGAAGACAAAGGGCTGGAAAACACCAGGTAGAGAATGAGCTTGGGGAGGGGGGGTGCACTGTATGGAGGCAGAAGTGATGGGATACCTGCAGGGCTGAGCAGAAGACACCGTAGGAGAAGCAGAGCGGAGGTGAGAGAACTGGAGGATTGAATGTTCAAGGCGGGAAAACGTAAACGGAAGACAAGGAGTGAAGGTGGAAGCTCGGAGACGAAGCTCAGGACTGTGTTTCGGCGGCACGTTCTCTCTTCCAACTTCTATGGCCCCCGAAAATAAACGACCCGCATAAAATCTCCATGGGGTCACGAATGTCTTGCCCACGATGCCTTGGGTGGTGTGAAAAGAATCTCAGGCATGGGTACATCACGTGGAAGATCAGCAGAAAGTCTGAGCGTGGACGATGAAGAGCTTTGTCTGTTTGCACAGAAAGAATAGACGGGATGCTTTGAAGAGGAAACCTTGGGTGCCATAATCTTCAGCTTTTAAAATGGTGGGCTCTAGAGACTGGGCAACCACTGGGGGAACGGGAAGGGCTACTCTGCGATAGGCGAAAAGAGCAGCCAGGGTAGGCTTGAGACTCGGAGGGTTTCGATGGGGAAATGGACTAAGCCAATTTATTGCGTCTTGGAGAGAGAAAAGGGGGGGAGTGTTTTTCTGTCTTGCTTTCAAGGGCTAGATGTCGGTCAGTGGTAGTAAATACTGAAAAGAAAGAAGCCGCGCGCGCGCGCGTGTTACTGTTAAGAGAGAAAGAATGAGATTGCGCGTGTGAGGTGACAGGGTGTGTGAAATGTGGGGAAGGAGGGAAAACGTGGAAACAGAATGGGCACAGAGTGTGTCGTGCGGGGTGGGTGTGTATGTATACAAGGGGAGAAAAGGAATAGTGCATTGTATGCTCTGTGCGCGCGCGCGCGCGCGCGCGAGAGAGAGAGAGAGAGAGAGAGAGAGAGAGAGAGAGAGAGAAGGGGGGGCGGGAGGAGGTGGAACAGGCAGCAGCGTGAGTGCCGTGGAGAAAAGGAGGACTGGGCGAAGAGTGTGTGCGCGCGCGCGCGCGCGTGTGGAGCGGGGAGAGGAGGAGGACCAGGCAGAGCGCGGGGCGGGGGAGGGGAGGGGAGGGGAGGGTGGCGCGCGGAGGGAGGAGGCGGCCGAGCCGCGGGATTGGGTCACAGCGAGGCTGACGGGCCCGACTACACCGACACTAATTCCCAGGCCACCCTTAAGGAATGAGGCGCCCCACGTGACGCTGGCGGGGCGGGCGAACTCTGAGCCATTTTGGGGACGGTGTCAGTTTCCACTGTGTGCCTTCAGCACTGGAGTCCCCCACCACACACACACCTCGTTCGCCACTCTCCTCCTCCGCTCCTCCACAGCAGCTATGAAATAATATATATGTGTATATGCATGGGAGAGGGAGAGGGAGAGGGGGAGGGAAGGGGCGAGGAGAGAGGACTCCACAGAGACGGAGAGCAAGACAAGGGGAAAGAGATTGACGGGGGGGGGAGTGAGAGGGAGCGCGAGTGCAGAGCGAGAGACAATGGCTTGCCGCTGGAAGAGGAGCGAGGCGACCCATTAGGATTAGACCGATTTTAAGATCCCAGCACCGGAGCCACGCATTTAAGGGGGGTGGGGTGGGGTGGGGGAGAGAGCGAGAGGAGAAAAGGAAGAGGAGGGGAAACCGAGCGCAAACTCGGAGGGAGACGGAGGGAACCTGGAGAGGTCAGTGGAAGAGGAGGAGGAGGAGGAGGAGAAGGAGGAGGAGACCCCGGGTGTTTTTGGAACTAAAATGAGCTGAGCGCGGCGGCGGCGGCGGCGGCGGCAGCAATACGCTTATTGCAATTGACAGCGTCTGCAGTTCATTTCAAGATGGCCGCTTGGCTCACATTCATTTTCTGCTGAACGACTTTTAACTTTCATTGTCTCTTTTGGCGGCTCCGATCGTCACCCAGCAGCTCCTTTTCGCGGGTATGTACCAGCGGGCGTGCTCTGTGGCCCGGGCCGGAGGGCGGCGGGGGCTCGGCGGCGGTTTTCGGGGGCTGAGGGAGGCTGCGAGGGGGAGCTAGGTGTCCCCAAGCTTTCCGTATGGGAAAAGCGCTGACAGTCTCGCTTCAGCCACGCTCGCTCGCTCGTCCGCCCGCCCGCCGCCCGCCCGCACCGAGACGTTCCGCCGCCGCCGCCGCCGCCGCCGCCGCCGCCCGTGCTCTCAATTTCGTTACGCACCCAGGCTTGCAAATTTTAGTTCCTTTCTTTCCACAGGCTGGCCCGAAAATCTTTCTGGGCGCAGGGTCCCCGAGGAGGATATTTATATTTTCAGCCCCTGCTAGCTGTTCGGGCGCAGACCTCTTTGTTTAAATGCAGATTTTGATTGAACGGGGACAGTTAATGGAATCTGGAGCTGCCTGGGTCATGGGATGGCGATTGCTTCCGAAAGAAACGGGTCGGTCGGGGTTTTCCAAGCCAGGTAGTGTGCCCATTTTATAGAGATGGGTCCAGCGGGGGGTGGCGATCCCTCTGGAGGGTTCGTTGTACCCATGGGGACTTCTAAAGAAATGTTATTAACTTAAGTTCCGCGAGCACTTGGGCTGGAACTGAATGGCTTGTAAGATGGCGGTTCTCACTTCGCTTCAAGTGTGGCCCCTTTCATTTGTGCCTAAAATGCAAACGTTTCTAGCCTTGGGGAGGGCAGGGCAGGACAAAGATGGAAAAATAACTTTTGGGGAGAGCTTCTAGCCTGAGTGTGTTGATCGCGAAGAAGTTGCCCAGTGCATATTGGGAGAGTTGGGGAAACTGAGGCGGTGCGACCTGCAGGATCTTCTAGACTGGCTTTCTTTTATTTAGCTGATGTTGTCCCCGTCCCCCCCCCCCCCCCCCCCCCCCATCCTTCTAGACTGGACAGAGGCATCTTAGCTGAAAGATCTTACTAGTATCTGAAACGTGATGATTGTGCTTCTCGCTCTTCTGGCTTGGTGTGCCTAGCACAAAGAAACTTGGTTGTGCCTTTCATCTAAAACCACTTGGCCTTGGCAATGCAGTCCTTGCAATGCCCCCATTTTTGCTCTTTTAATATTTTGTAGGAAACAAGTCAGTAACCCCAAATCAAAGTTTCTCTCCCCACAAGTAAAATGTAACTTTGCCTCCAAACTTGGAGATTTAGGCATGTGGTCACAGCATCTTCATGGTATTTGCAAAACCTCTACAGTTAGTTAATCTTATTAAAATAGTTTTAAGTTAAATGTTTAAAACTAGTCTGTTTGAAAGGATCTTCCAAGGACTGGAGATATTCTAGAAATGCAATCTTGTAGGAAGCGGTAGAAAGGAGACTGGGTTGAATGTGAAGGCTTTTGTTGGAAGTTGGATGCTGAGATAGCTGTGGCTGAGCCGCTACTTTGCTTATAGGCGACAAGCTGGAGAGTTCCCTGCGCTACTTTCAGGAGTTTGCTTGTGCTGCGCACACTGGTGTCTTCTGCTGCAGTGTGCTTGCACATACATGTCAACCTGATCCGTGAAGGGATGGGCACAGTTTTTCAACAGAGATGGACATGCTTTGCTTTTAGAATCACTTTTCCACCTACAGAAAAATGGCTTTAATCACTTTCAGGAATTAGCTCCATCAGAGCTGATCTGTGTCTAAAGCACACAGCTTTACTCATTCCAGCATATCTGGTCTCTGGGTAGCCTCGGCTACATTGGTAAGTGAAGGGCTACCAATGCTGCTGCTCTGTGCTAATTCACAGAGTGCCCCCAGGCATGCATATCAGGGCTTGCCCCTACTTTTTTCAGTTTGAGGTAACCCATGTAAGGCCTCCCAGACTTTCAATTGACTGTCATAGCATGTTTTTACCCTTCCTTTCTTGTTATGGTTGAATGTGTGTCTGGGAAGGACTGGGTCTGCAAACAAAATATGTTACCTAGTCTTAAAAGGGGGAGGGAGTTGTCTTGACTAGTATCTACACAGGACATCAACATGGGGGTGAGGGTGGGAAACGAACCTTCAGGGGAGGGGAAAGGGAATAGATGCTCAAACTCCACTCCTAAGCATGTTAGTGTGTTTGGCAATGAGATGCTCTTATATTTATATCTGTGATGTATATGAATAGAAAGGGGCATGTACATTGGTGTCTTCCAGTGAGAAAAGCGTCTTCTTGCTTTGATTCAGTTTGTCGGTTTAAAATTCCGGCTTTCAGAGATACCTCCAACCATGCCCTGGGGGAGAGGGCTCACTTGGGTAATAAATAATATGCGGTTAAGGGGCAGCTTCGACCAAACAAGCGTCACGGTTGATTTGAGTTTTCTTCCACTTAGGGAGAGAGGCTGTTTCCGTGAAATAAAACATGTGTTAGTATCTTCTGAAGGATTACGTTGCCTCCGTGTCTCAGTGCTGCAGAAGATTTTTAAGCCAACCGATTAATACAACCTGGGCTGTAGTTTATTTTGTAATTATGAGATATTTAAGATTGCCTGCACTCTCGGCTTGTACAAATAAAAAGAAGAAAGTTGGGGTGGGTGTGGAGAAGGCGATGATTCGTGCCAGACAAACTTAAGAACCCTTCCTCCTGGATGAAGGGGACGGCAAATCTAGGAGTACCCAGAAAAGAGGCTAGCGAGGTCCAAGGAGGTGCGGCTTCCCCCTCTGTGGATGCTGTTGGGGAGGTCTCTCCAGGACCAGCGCTCAACGTATTCGTGAGCCGAACCTCCCTGCTGCACGCGGGACTGAGGCCAAGGCTGTTGCCGCCCTCCCTCCTTTTCGCCTGTTCTCCAGACCTCTTTCGCTTCGCTCTTTCAAACATTTTGGATACGGCTGGTGCTGTAGACAAACAACAGTTTTCCCAGCGCAGCATTTGCCCTTTTTCTCTCCCGCCCCCACCCATCTTCTCTTCCTCCTCTCCCCTCCAGTCCCGGGGCTTGCAGAGAGAGGCCGTCGGAACAAGTGAAGCTGCTTGCTAAGGTTGCTCGTTGGCTCTGCTCCGGGCAATCCCAGCAACGTCTTAAACTCCTCCCGCCCCCTCACCGCCCCTTTTTCTTTTTTTTCCTTGGGCAAGTTTGGCTGGAATTCATGGCTCTTTTGGAAGCGGAGAAGTATTTTGTCTCGACTCGACTGTGGTGGGTTCAGAAGAAGGAGGATATCTGCTAAGATCAGGAAACTTAACCTGTGCTCTGGGTGGCGGCGACGGAAAAGGGGAAGGAACACTCCCCCCACCCCGTCCTGACCTGATCGCGCCGTAAATTATTCGCCGAGCCTGGCCGAGGGCTGCCTGCCTGCCTGCCTGCCTGCCTGCCTGCCTGCCTGCCTGCCTGCCTGGGGTGGGATCGTGGGGCTGGGGGCAGGCGTCTGCCTGCGGCTTCTCTCCACTTCCCCTCGCAACCTGCAGCTCCAAGATGAGGCGCAACTGTGCGGCGGTGGGGCTCGCACTTGCAAACCTCTGGAAATGACATTGGCGGCTGCCAGTTTTCCCGCTCGTCGCTGCGCCGCGCTTTGACAAGGTGTGGGTCGAGGCGCGCGCCGGGACCGGCGACCGCCTCCTCCGGCGAGGCGATTCCCCGCGCAAGGCAGCGTTGACCGGCCTGTTGCAGAGGCCGGCGGGAGACCTGCGCCCCGTTGAGGTCGCCTCCCCGGCGTGCCCGGCGGAGTGCCCGGAGCCTCGGCTTGTGGCAGCGTCCCCTGACGCGGCGGAGCGGAGCGGAGCGGAGCCCAGCCAGAGCGGAGGGGCGCAGGGGAGCGCGGCGGCGGCGTGGGCTCAGCTGCCGCCGCCGCCGCTTTCTTGCCCCGAGTCGACGTGGATGGAGGCCCCCGGGAGGAGCCTCTCGCTTCGGCCTGGCGCAGACCCCAGCGCTGGCTCGGGCCGCCTCCGAGGCCTCCCACCGCCAGCGCCGCTCCTGGCCTCCCTCCGCCGGCCCCCACCCCGTCCCCTTGGCTCCCAAAATCCGGCGGCGGCGGCGCGGGGGGAGCGCGGCGAGGGGGACGCGCTGTCCCTAGCAAGACCCCTTTCCCGGGCCCACCCCCGCCACGCCCCTCCGCGCCTGCCCTGCCGCGGCGCCCCGAGCCCCCTGCGGGCTCCTCCGGGCTCCCCTGCGCTGGAGGCGGCGCTGGAGCCCCACGACCCAGCCCCCCCGGCGTGGCCCCCCGGCCCCCCGCCCCCAGAGCCCCCCCGCGCCACTTCTGGAAACATCCTCTTCGGCACCGCTCCCCCTCCCCTCCCCCTCCCCCCGGCCAATCCGGGCCCCTCCCCCCGCTGCGCTCCGGGCGGTGGCAGGATGCCAAGTGTAAGTGTAAGTTGCTATAGCAACCCTTCGCTCGCTCGCTCGCTCGGTTCCGAAGGCGCCGCCGTCCCGAGCCTGTTGGGCTGGCGGCAGCGGCGAGGCAACCGGGAGCCAGGCAGCGACGCGGCGGCGGCGGCGGCAGCAACAGAGCCCAGTTCCGGTGGCCGGCCCGATCCGCTCCCCGGCTGTGCACGCTGCGCGCCTTGCCCGGGCTCGTCGATGCTGCCGGCCCTTGTGCAGAGGTGCGGCGAGGCCCGATCTACCCAGGCAGCCCGCCAGCCCGCCCTCCTCCGCTCGCTCGCTCGCTCGCTCGCTCCTTCCTTCCTTCCTTCCTTCCTTCCTTCCTTCCTTCCTTCCTTCCTTCCTTCTCTGTCGCCACCGCTGTGGCCACAGCCGCTCCCCCTTCTCGCCGGAAATGCCCAGGGCAGCGTCCGCAGTTGCACCAGGATCGGGCTCCGTTTCTTCTCCCCGCACTCATACCTTTGCCACCGTGATCGAGGTGCCCGGGGCGCCACGGGAAAGGGGCCCCCACGAGCCTTCTGTGAGTCTCCCGTGGGACGGCCGCCGCCGCCCCATTCCCGGGTCAGCCGATGCGGGAGGGGGAGGGCAGGTGGGCACTGGGCAGAACAGCGGCCCCCTCTCTCCTTGCAGGCACTGCCCTCCCCGCTGCCTGGCTTGGCAGCTTCCCTTTTGCACTGCCCTCTTCCTCACTTTAAACACAGGGGTGTGTTTTTTCCTCCTCTTAGGCGGGGTGTACGTTTAAGTCGGGGAGGGGGCAGAAGAGATGTGTTGGAACCGTGCCTCCCCCTCCCTGTGCCCCATGTGGCTCTTAAACGCTCCTCTGTGTGTATATTTCAGAGCTGCCTATTTTTGCGCAAAAATGCATCGCACCACCCGAATCAAAATCACCGAGCTAAACCCCCATCTCATGTGTGTTATCTGTGGAGGGTACTTCATTGACGCAACCACCATCATCGAGTGCCTGCACTCCTGTAAGTACTGCTGCCTGGCTGCTTCTCACCTAGCCTCCATTACCCAAATCCAGAGAAAGGAGTGATCCCATTAGCCTCTCTTGATGCCAGTCAGAAGAAAAGGGTACCCTGTTTCCTATGCTGCTGCTGTTTTCTGCAGCCTTGAAAACTTGTCCTATATGTTTTAGAGACAGTTTTCAGCTCTTGAAGATTTAGTCATTATCTTTTATTGATATGAGATGGTTCACTTTTGTGATTCTCAGTTTAGCAAAAGCCAGCTGCACTACAGGGTTTTTTTTAAGCTAAAGAATTTATCTTGCTTTTTCTTTGAAATCTTGGTTCTTTCCATATATACTTTTTTTCCCTTTATAGTCTGTAAGACATGTATCGTGCACTATTTGGAGACGAGCAAGTATTGTCCTATTTGCGATGTCCAAGTTCACAAAACCAGACCACTTTTAAACATAAGGTAGGGAAAGGACTATGAATGTGACTCGTTTGCTGTATGCTATAACTGTGAGCTTGCACTGCTTGTGTTTGTTTGATTGCCATCTCTTTATTGAGTTCAAATCTGAAAAGAGATTACTTATGGACGTTCTTGGGTGAAGGATCAGACTAACATTTCAGTCTGGGCATTCTCTGATCCTTGTCCCTTCCTATACAATATGCTTTTTTGGGTCTGTTCTGTCCAGACTGCAAATTAATCTTCCCTTATTGCCACCCTGTAAATTTAATTACCTGATTTTCTCTAGTGCAAACTACTGATATTTGTACATGTAAAATATTGATTAAAAAGTCAATGGTTAAATTATTTTCAGAAGTCCTATTCCTTGCTGGTGATTTATTAGCTTATGACCTCTTCATTAGGTGATTGCATTTTTAACAATAAAGTAACACTGGGCCAGACAGGTTTCTAGCAAATGACAAATAATTTTGTTAAAATTGTGGCTGGCCCGAACATGAATTCAGGGTTTTTTAAGGTGTGAGATGCAGATTGAATTTCAATACTGACACAATTTTAAATGTGTATGTCTTGGAATTGTACATTTCAGATCTGATAAAACTCTCCAAGACATTGTGTACAAGTTAGTACCGGGCCTTTTCAAAAGTAAGTAAACAGTTAAACTAAACAGTCAGCACAGCACAGTACTACAATCTGCTAAGCTGGAGTAAACTAAATGACAAATATGTCTGTTCACTCAGATGAAATGAAAAGAAGAAGAGACTTCTATGCTGCTCACCCATCTGCTGATGGTAAAAGCTTCCAGTTTATTGTTTTATAGATGTAAAATGTCATATTACTCATAAACTAATGCAGTTAAATAATTTTCCCATATATAATATTTCAGTAGTAATACAGAGCACAAATTATTTAAATGTTTTATACATGCTAAGAGCAATTTCAGTATCTGTAGATATTTTATCAGACATTTCCCTTGTAACTTAAGTTTTGTTCTAATTCTTCCTGATTTGAATTTGAAAATGTAAATGACTGGACATTTCTGTGCAGCTGCCAATGGCTCTAATGAAGACAGGGGAGAAGTAGCAGATGAAGACAAAAGGATTATAACCGATGATGAGATAATAAGCTTATCCATTGAGTTCTTTGATCAAAATAGGCAAGTTGCAAAAGCAATATTTTACTCTTAACTGTATGCTTATAGGTTGCAATTCTTTGTAATCATTGTATAATTCCTCTTCCTAGACTGGAACGGAAAGGAAATAAAGAGAAAGAGAAACCCAGAGAAGAGGTAAATAAATTTCTTCCAACCTTTCTTTAGAAAAAGACAAACTTATATTACATTGGAGGGTCAACTAGATGCATATTTTAATTTCCCACAAATAAAATAACAAGAGAGGCAACTACAGTACAGAACTTTATAGTATCTTCTTGACAACTAAAATAAGTTCCATACACTTTGTCTCCAATTTTTCCTTACATAATTAAAAAAGTAAGTTATCTACAAAATTCCTAGTGAACATGCTCGATATTTTGGCCCTTCGGTTTCACTGTTCTGCATGTTAATCCAGTTATTTTGCTCCAGCGATAAGCAACTAATTGTGATTATTTCCCCACTATATTTAACCACTTTATTAGAATGAGGCTTATTGCCAGTATTTAATTATATGCATTATTTTTTCAATCAAATGCTCCTAACAGATGAATGACAAAAGATATCTACGCTGCCCAGCAGCAATGACTGTAATGCACTTGAGAAAGTTTCTGCGGAACAAAATGGACATACCAAATACTTTTCAGGTACTTTTGGCTTAAGGGGTTGGTAGAATTTCCAATACAATTTAAGATGAAGTGCTTAATTTAAAGTCATGTTCTTTATTAAATATTCTTATCAAGAACTAGTAGGCACACACTGTGTAATACTGTATGTAAGTTAGTAGTATATTTTAGTTTATATAGAAACATTTCTAAGTTAATGTAATAATCTGTTTTCAAAAAGGCAAATCAGATGAATAACCCCAGCCATTTTTCCTTTGTTCTGTCCAGGGTTGCTTGCCATGAAAGAATAATAATCAATGCCACATTTCAAACAATTTTGGAGTGAAATGTTTGTAGTCTTTTCCATGTTCCTCAAGAGTTTTGCTAATGGTTTTTGCTTCTGGGTTAAAAAAAAAAAAATAATAAAGGCCTACACTATTGGCTGTCAAAGAGTTTATGAACAATCTGACCAAAGTCTAGTGTTCTTAAAAGAGGAATTATTGCCAAATTCAATTATATTTCTGGAAAGATGCAGATCTTGGATATATGGCAGAATTTGTCCCATTTGAGACAACAAAGTTGAATAAAATTTCAGATGAAGTGAGTGATGTGAGAATCATATTGTCTGTGAGCATGTTGCTGTTTCTCCTGCTTGGCATACATCAAATGAAGCTGAATTACATTTCTTTGGCAGATCGACGTCATGTATGAAGAGGAGCCTTTGAAGGACTACTACACACTTATGGATATTGCCTACATTTACACATGGAGAAGGGTAAATACACCAAGAGCCTGCAGCTTCTCTCTGTAACTCTGAATTAGCTGTGGGAGAAAAAGTATTGCTGCTGACAATGTGTTTTTTGGGGCTTCTTTTGCAGAATGGCCCCCTCCCTTTGAAGTACCGAGTGCGACCTACTTGCAAAAGGATGAAGCTGAGCAGTCACCAGCGAGATGGCATAAACCACAGTGGAGAGTTGGAAAGTGACTCTGGGAGTGAAAAGGCGAACAGCCCTGCGGGAGGCACCCCCTCTACTTCATCCTGTGGTTTGCTTGGTCCCAGCACTCCAGTGCAGTCTCCACACCCTCAGTTCCCTCATATCTCTAGTACTATGAATGGGACTGGTGGTAGTCCTGGCAGTAACCACCACTCTTCCTTCGCCAACAGAGCCCGGAAGTCATCTATAAATGGTTCATCTGCAACTTCATCTGGTTGACACACTGAAATGCCCTCAGACTGAAAACCCCACCACTTCTTTAGAGCTCCCTTTTCTGCCCTTCTGTCTTTTTCTCTCCCTGCCATTCAGCTTTATAGAACTTAATCCACGAGTGATGATCATCCAAAATGCTTTTTTAAAAAAGGAATAAAGGACTGTCTTCTACACACATTTTGGATATTAAAATGGTGGGACCTACTGGGTGAGCATTTGATATGAACCCTACGTTGAAGCAAACAGCAACAATTTTAAAAGCAGTTTCTTAAGGACTAGCAATGAGCAACAAGGTATAAACCCTGATAAACTGGGAGCAAAAAATTGATTGTTTTCTGGGGAGGGAGGGTTGCTACCCATCCTCAACCTACTTCCTAGTTTGGACTCAGGATTATCTGGGAATGAATGCATATCATTAATGGGATATAGTTTTGCTAATCCAGACTAACTTCCTACATTTACACACTCTCAGATTGTTCATTGTTTATTTCGCTGTTTTTGTGAACTTGTAAAAGCAAGTGGATATTTTTTCCATCTTGAGATTTGTCAACAAAACCGGATTGAATATGCATAGAATGTATGCATACCTGTAGTAGCCATGCCACTGTGAATAACAATTTCTTGCTTTATTAGCCATTTTGATTTTTGTGTTGCATCCATAACTTCTCTGCTGCAGCACAGAAGCAATTTAAAAGGGAGGAAAGGAAGAAGAAACAGAAAATTACGACAACAAAAAGAACAAAGAAAAAAAGATAGATATTGTGTTTTACAACCTGTAGGTCTAAAAGCGGGTATTGCCGTTTATTTTACTGACTTGTTTAAAGAAAAAAAAAATCAAAGAAAAAGACACTGTTTTTGTAAAAATTGGATGGCATTTTGTGTTTGTTGAACAATGCCATATTGGTATATGACAAAACAAGAAGCAGTATTGTATGATATATTTATAAATACTATAAAGAAAATATTGTGTTCTGCACACACTCAATACAGTGGTTAAATTCCCAGGCTAGTTTGGTGGATGCAGATGCCCCTTATGAGGTTGTTGCTGATTTACCAGATATGAGCTCTTTTTCCCTGGTGATGTTTGAAGGTTGCAGGGCTGGAGTGCAAGCTCAAATCAGCGTTAACCTGGAAGCAATTGGCAATCTCAAAAGGATTTTACGAGCTTTGTCTTGTTCCAAGTAGTATATTATTTTTACTTTTACACAATGTGATTGTTTTAATGATGCCGGAGGGAGGAGGGGGAGGTTACAGGAGAAGTAGAAAATGGAGGAACAGGGGGGTGAGTTAACTATTTCATTCGTTCTATTATTTTGTGTGATGGGTTTGTGTTTTTTTTTTCCTTAAAAAAGCACAGGAAATCATATAAGAAGCCATAAAATACGTGGGAACCTTTGTCATTCATTATTTCTTAAGAAATCAGTAAGTCTCTGGATGAAGGCTTTTAATCTAAATTTGTTTTAATATATATGTATGTATATGGTACAGTACTAACTTGGTTAAAGATTAACAGGTACTTTGAGATCTCCAATAAGCTGTGGGGAATCCCTTTTATACAATTGACTCCTTAAGGCATTGCAGTTTGGGGGAAAAAGGAAAGTTTTCAAATGTAAGAATCATGAAGAGCCTCCCAAATACTTTTCAGTTTGTGCTTTGCTTTGGTCAAAGTGTGTGTGTGTGTGCGCGCGCGCATTCTTCACTCAGTTACACATTTGTGAGGGTGTTTATCCTATATGACTATTGTTTCATGTCTGTATGAAGAAATTGTAGCTAAACATTTCATTGTCTCCAGTCTGCAAAAGAAGCACAATTCTATTGCTTTGTCTTGCTTACAGTCATTAAATCATTACTTTTGCATATATCTTGTTGCTACTTCTTCTGATGTTCTAGACTAGTCAATGTCCAGGTTTCTTATTAACATTCTGAAGTGTAACAGGCTATTACAAGAAACCAAACACTTATACTGAGATTGGGAGCATGAAAATTTAAGTTCTGCTTAATTAAACTGAGTTTACTGCTAAGGAAGATTGTAAATTGAAGCATGTTTAATCTGGTATGTGACTTACTGGAAACATAAATGCTTATTTCCAGAGGAGTTGATTTGGACTAGGCTAGAAGTCTGCATCAACTTAATTGCCAACATTAATAGGATTTATTTTAAGGTAATGTCTCTTATGATACACTCCTATATATGTCCATTCTGAAGTAAGTCCAGCTTTGTTATGTGGGCCTACTCCCAGGTAAGTGGGTATGGATTGCCATCTTTGAATCAACGTAATAATATTCCCTCACTTTCCTTTCTGTGATACGGTTTCATACAAAAGTTGTAGGTAGTCCATTAAAAATGTATTAAATGAAAGGGTATAGAAGAAGGGAAATTAAAAAGAAATGGCAGTTACCAATCATAATATAAAAGACAGCTTCAAGTAATGAAGTTTCTCCTGAGCATCAAAATGACCTGCTAGGGGCAACGCCAACACCATTCCTAAACTGTAGCATGAAAATGTAGTAAATGCCTGCAGTACAGCCCAGGGCCATGAGCGTAGTGCTTATTTGTTTAAATTCCTGCTTATTATTAGTGAAAGAAATGAACCCTATTGTATCAGAATACGACTATTTCTAGTACATTAAAATACTTCTGAAAAAATCCTCAGTGAATTACTTTAAAAGAAAGAAAACCAGGATAAAGATAGTATATATTTGCAATGACCTATATGTCCCAGCAGTCATCGTCCAACTATAAAAAACAACAAATAGTATAATTTACGCAAAGGCCAAAACTGAACCTCAGATTTAGAAGACCAGCTTGCTTATTTTGGATCCAGCTAAGTGGTATCAAACTCTGCCATTTAAAAATTGAGCTGATGTCCTATAGCTTTTCCATCAAAATAAGTATGACAGATCGTATCCACATGATAATCTACCAGAAAACAAGACACATGCATTTCAGTGGAATTTGTTTCTATCAAAACACATTTAAGATCTCAGCCTTAAAGTCTGTCCTGCTTGCCTTATTAAACTAGTGCTGTTGAATCTGCCTCCTTCCCTTTATCCAGTGAATCCATCTAAGATTAGAGAAGCCCCTTTAAACCCTTTAGCTTTGCCAGCTACTTGCCCAAGGAAATGAGTGACCGCTGTAAAACAGCTGATGCCTCACAGAGCCTAAACACTTCAAATGGATGTCAAGTCCCACTGAGATTTTATTTTTTTATTATTTGGGGCCTTGCTTTCCCCAAGGAACCCAAGGTGGCTTATGTAATCCTCTCTCCTCCATTTTATCCTCACAACTACCCTGGGTGGTAGGTTAGGGTAAGAATGAGCGAATGGCCCAAGCAATCTCATGAGCTTCTTGGCCCAACAGGCACTTGAAAACTGAATCTTCCAGTCTTGCACTTTCAGTCCTGCACTTTATCCAAGATGCCACACTGGGTCTCAAGTGGTGGAAAACTTGTAGACTTCTGTGTATTGTCGGACTACAACTCCCATCAGCTCCAGCCAGCATTGCCGATGATCAGTTCAGCAGCAGGTTCCCCTCCCTCCGGTTGTATAAACAGAAGACTGTTAATAGCGGAAATGCGACCTTTCCTTGGAAAGAAGCGAAGGATCGCTGTACCTTCCTTCAGAGCCTCTGAATAACCGCCCCAGCTTCACGAGGGGTTCTTGGGACGCCCAATGGCACAGGTTAGAGGAGTGAGGCGTCGATGTTATTTATATTGGGTGAAACTGAAAGGTGCTGGCAATGTTATCCGTATGTAAGTCAACTTAGAGAATAATCTTCTAAATGCCCACTACTCGAAATAAGCCCTCCTGAGTTCAGTGGGCTTTCTCCCAAGTAAGAGTGCATGTAAGGGTTGCGCGTTCGCTCCACTGCAAGGGGTTGGCACTGGTTAAACTGGTCCGGTCCCTCACACAGTGACTGAAAGAAGCCTGCGAGAGCAATGCAACCGCGGGGCCATCCATTCCCGGTGAAATCAGACCTGTACAAACAGAAAAAACTTAGAGGGGTGGAGGAGGCGCTTGAGCAGGACGTTGCGCGGATCCTTGTTCACCCGCTCAAAAGGGCGGGCCGGATCCAGTCTGCGTGTGTCTTTGCACTGAAGAGCAACCGCGCCCACCACTTCAGAAGCAGTCAGGCTGTGTAATAACCAGAGGGCATCGCCTGCAAAGAACCTTGCATTTTAAAGAAAGAACAGGAGTGCGTTTAAACATGCGCAGAGCACTATATCCTTCACCGCAGATTAACCAAACCAGATCTCTGAGACCGGGAAGTCCGGGAGACCGGCCAGCGCGCACCTCAGACCCGTAAGCCCGAGATGCGGCGCCCCTCTCCGGAATTTAGGCTGAGTCTTGAGACTTCATTGCAAACCTTGGTGCTCTTCGTAGCTTTAGCTCTTCCTCCTTGAAACGGGAACAGCGGAGACGTGGCCAGCAAAGCTGCCTCGAGAGAAACGGACTTCGCAAATAACTTTTCTGTACAAGATAAATGCCATACAGGAACAAGAATCTGTTCGGTATAAACTAAAATGAATCCTAGAGGAAAAAGTAGGTTTGTTTGCATGTAGGCAAGATTTAGCAGCTCTTAGGACTGGGGTTCCGGAGGTCAGCGAGTCCAGGGGGACCCCCATGCCACTGTACTGGCCAAGTTTAGCTAAGATCTCACTAAACCAGCGAGGGATACTTTTCTTGGGGCCTTGAGAGCAAAGAGACTGCCGGCTATTAAAACTGGGTGGGAAAGAAACAAGTACAAAATGCATGCGGTCGATTTTCTCGGGTTTTCAGACTTGACAGAAGCATCTCATCTTCCAAGGAGCTGTACAAGCTGCCTTTCCAAATCCAATATGTGCACTCAGCTCCCCGCGATTCTGCGGAGGAGACCTCGCTGTAGCCAGACACAGCCTTTTGCTGTAAAGGTGAACCTGTGCAGACGACCCCATGAGTCGATCCTATTTACTCCTTCGCCAGCGACGTCGTGGACCTGGAGTCGCAGGGCTGAAGAGCAGGGACTTTTGCGTTCGTAGAGCGAAGGCGTCCTCTGCCTCTTCCCCCCGCTCAGTTTTTGTTGTTCCTACTGAGTTTCGTCGTCGTCCTCGCAGTAGCTGAGGGGAAAATAGATTTTCCCCCCAACAATAATGCAGAGCTGTGAGCTACCCCAGTTGTAATTCGGATTTGGGCTGACCTTACAATCCACTACCTGGGGCCTGGGAATGGCGAAAGTCCTGAGGAATGCCTCTCTTTGCAACTTCGCTGTGACCCCACTGTTCCCTCCCTACTCCTTTTAAGATTCTTTGATCTTCTTTTCCCAAGTCCGAACCATCACCTCTGAATTCACTTTCTGTACCTACAATTCTCTCCCCCACCCGTATTTCAGTTCTGACCTCGAGCCGCGAACTCTAGTGTGTCGTAGGGTTGTCGTTGTTGTTGTTGTTTTTTTAACCTAGATATGAAGCTTTTGTTTCCGCTCTTTATTCGCAGACTCCTTGCATTCTACTCCGGAAGGTGCCTGCATTCCACCATGTCCCACCTCCTCCCGCAGTCTAAAAAAGCAGCGTCCCTTGCATTCCTCGCCGGCTCTCGTCAGGTTATTGCAAAAACAGGTCCTCGGGCTGGCCACGGGCATCCCCGGGCATCACAGGGGCTTGCGGTTATAAGGCTGGACCTCCTAAGGCTGAGATTCACGAGCAGTGAGCGCAAGGCTGAACAAGTAGGCAAGGAGCTGATGGGCGCAGCCAGCCGCCGCTTTGCAAAAAGGTCCAAGAAAATGAGACGGAGGAACCACATGTGATGAAAAAAGGAGGGAAGGAACGAAGGGAGGAATGGGGCAAAAGATGGAGGCGAGAAAGAAACCGAGGGAGAAACCGAGTAGGGAATATGAAGGGGCAAGAAGGAAAGAATTGACTGCGTAATCTGGACATGTCTGCTTAGAACTGCTTAGAACGGATGACTCAGACTTTTCCATGGGTCTACTCTAAGTAGGACCCACACTGATCCAACCCAATGGGACTTCTTCCCAGCTGAGCATGTACAGGACTGCAGCCTCAGTCGCTTCTGCGGGCCACAAGGAAACCGGGTGACACACGGCCATGGGAAGCCCTCGTCCTTGCAAGAGCACGAAGGGAGCGACTTCTTGCCTTCCTTGCCTGTCCCTTTCTGACCCTCTCCTTCTGCCGCCGGCTCCATGGCATGCGATCCGCTGATCGGGCTTTTCGCCCAGGGGAGCCATGCAACGAGAGAGGCTGGCTTGGCCAGGGGAGAGGGGCGGCGAGGAAGGTGCCTTCGCAGGGCGAGCGGGAGCCGCCGCCGCCGCCCCCCCGGAATCTTGGGGTGCCTCGCTCGCTTTCCAAGCGTGGAAATCGCCCCAACGTCTCCCTCGGGGCGGACGGGGCGAAGATGCCGCCGCTGCAGCTGGGCCTCTTGGTGGGACCCGCAGGAGGCTGCTCGGACAGCGCCGGGCTCGCCTCGCCCGCTCCTCCGACACCGACCCACCGACGGAGGCCACCTCTTTCCGCTCGGCTCCTCGGGTCTTGGCGAAGGAGAAGCCATTTTGCGCCTGCGCAGTCCTCGTCCGTCGCCGGCCCGGTTTCGTGCTCTCCCGCCGCCAAATTCGAACGCGGGCGGCCGGACGGTCGGTCGGCACGGAAGAGCCGGGCGGGGCGGCGGCGGGCCCGGGCGAAGCGGGCGAGCTGCCGGCGCGGCGTCCGTCCACTGCCAGCCGAAGCCTTTTCTCCGGAATGACGGCCGACTCCAAACGGGTTGTTCCGAGCTAGAGTCAGCTAGGAGGAGGAAATGATAATAATGCGGTTTAGGGGTTTTAGGGTGCAGACAAGAAGTTTCGCAAGCGACCTCACTAGCCGGAACTT